TATATCTAGATTTTCTTAGTCCTTTAGATTTATTTATTATTAAATTAGTTAGGTATGCAAAGTATTTTCAAAAAATGAAATAAAAAAGGGATTACAGGCGTTAATTTTTATGAGATTTTGCTTATCAAAACATTGGAATGACGTTATAACAAGGCAACCCAGTATACGCTCTTAGAGCGTCTTGTTACTGGGCTACCTGTGATATCACAGTCGTAAAATGCCTTTGTTTTTTTTTGTATTCTTCTCCTCGACAAAATGACAAAGTTGCGCAATAGTTATCCAGAGGTCTTCAGGAACTTACCCAAGAGACCTTTGCGGGTATCTGCTATAGAGTTCCCGTCTATAGTCCAATCAATTATCATATACCAGATGTCAATCAATGTCACTATGTTGTCGAGTGATTATGAGAGGGCGGAGCTAGCAGATCACGTGGTACAGGTTTATGTCTACGCATGCTTTATTTCGTTGACTTCCGTAATTCAAGACAACCGAACTAGAAGTATTAATTTTTCAATTTCGTAAACCAGGCTTTTTAGAAGATAGCGAGGATTTCGAAGCGATTATTTCTAAGAATTTTCAATGAACTTCATGGAAAAAAATTGGTTGTGGTTAAATATTCATGATTCATCTACTCGAACAGTATTTTCTGCACGAACAAGCAAAGATCGATGCGGAGAACAGAGTTTTAAGAGTCAGAATTTATACGATAAGCGATAGCATAAAACAAATTCATTTAGCATGACTCGTTATTCTCTTGAACTTGACAATACAGTCTTATAACCTATATTTATGTATCTATATTAACTGTTTTGGCTTCAAAGTCTACTCACAAAGGATTATGAGGTACATAGTAATATATATTTTAAGATTCTATTTGATTTAAGAAGCAAAATAAATAATTTGCTACGCACATTCCAGGGTTTGATCTTTGCCGTTCGAAGCGTTATGATCTCCTTCATTTTTTCTTCAAAAATATGGTGATTCATTAAAAAATATCGATAAATTATAAAATTATAAATTGGAAAAGGAGTTCCTGATTGAGTTGTTCGATGACTTTGATGAGTAAGGTTTGTTTTGATTTTTCTTTCTGAGAAAGTGTTCAGAAAAAAATTCTGTATAGTTTTACTGTGCATTGCTGATCGACTCAATTCAAAACGCCCACTTATTTATTTCATCAAAAACATCAATAAATCACAACACAGAGACCCCAAAAGTGTAAATGTCTAACATTACTTCTCTAGATGTGCAACTTTTCCAGCAATCACATCACGTATCTGATGACATGCCTACATTTCATAACCAGGCCCATCTTTACCAGGTATCCCAGTGCACCCTGAGCCCAAGGTCTTGTATTTAAAGCTATTCAGCAATTTATACTAAATTTTAATTAAGTCATTTCTTTTTGCTCACTTCATTCTTTATCATTATTGCTATAATATAATTGTTTATAGAATCGAAAATGCCTTGTATTGCTACAAATTGTCCGTAATCATTTCCCCCTTTTCAATTCATTCGTTATATATGTATATATATAATATTATTATTATTGTTAATTAGTGCTTTCCGGTTTTCTGAACACAGCTTCGTTGTCAACTTCGTATGAAATACTCAGCGAATCCTGCAAACAACTGGACGCTTTCAGGGAAAAAGAGTGATTACTTTTACGTTGGTATTGAGGTAGGATCTTATTTTCTTACTTATTTTCTTTTCTTCTTTCTCTAAACATTACGTTGCCATGCCCTAGCTTATTTTCTTTCTCGTTAAATTAGACTTTCAACTAGAGCGCCTAGAGCAGAGCAGATATGATAGGCGCTATATAAATAGTCATCATCATCATCATCATCAATTTGTTTCAAAATTCTTAATATTAAAGTTCCGAGTCTAAAGCAAAGCTAAAAATGTGCCTTTCCCATTTATTCGTTATATCATTACGAAAGTTTTAAATCTGTTCATTTTTAAAAAATCTTTGCGCCGCCTTCAATTAATTAAGCCTCTCATTATTTTTGATTTACTGATCGTATTGGATTTATTTTCAATAATATAGGTTTTTCCAACGAGAATATATCTCACTGAGTGTAAGCCAAACACATCTGTATTCATAACCTTCCGACCAACCGTACCTCTTGTGTCCAATGGTTTCGATGGTGGCCTAAAAGTGGAAGCATATTTACCCCGTCATTACGATCAAAACTGGCATCAAGTTGCTGCCGATACATGTAACATATTTCTCAAAGGATTAGCCGAAAAAAGAATCAAGTTGAAAGGAGTTTGTGACATTCCCAATCAGCAGCAAACTGATTTGGATTTTCACTTTGATTTAAGCCCCAATGCACATTTGTTTTGGGTACGATATCGTTTGAAATCAGTCAAGGTATTTATTTTTAAAAATGAACGTAACATGTTTATTTATATATTTTAGGGAGGTCTGGTGGTCAAAGCCTATGATTTAGAAATTTATAGATACGAAATAAAAAGGGGTCGCCGTGTTGGAAACACCTACATCGGGTTTTTATGGCGGGACTGGCATTACACTTTTATAGCTTTGTTTTGCTATTTCTTTTATCCTGAAAAATTATTGGAGAAAGAACTTGCCCTTACCTATACATTATTTTCCTACCTATAGATTATTATCATTTTCATGTGTACACCTTTCTGAATGCATGGAACTCAATGATCTAATTCTCTTAACTAATTTTTTAACGTCACGTGATGTCAAAGAGAGCAAATCAAATATCTATTCTTATTAGGTATCAGTAAAAAACACAGAACATGGAATTTGTTCATCTACTGGTGATCCTCATTATTCAACGTTCGATGGAAGGTAAAGAACTGATTTAAGTGCACCTATAACTCCTGATACAATACTTTCAGTACCTAAAGTGAGTAGTTGAAAGGTAAAATGTTTCTTCATTTGGGTGTTGCGCCTTCTTAAAAGTTATAAAGGTTTAGGCCCCGTCCACACTTATCCGGAAATTTTCGTATCTGCAAAAAATTTTTTTTTTCGGATACGAAAATGTTCGCGTCCACACGCAGCGTATTCGAATCATTTTCGAATCGTTTTCACTGTCCACACGTATCCGGAAATTTCATGATCCGCTCTGATGCACGCTAGTGCCTAGTCCCTTTAACGGATAGATATTCTTATTGAGTATGCGCAAAATCGTGTTTACGTCATCGTATTCGAAAATTTGCGGATACGACCGTCTACACGTATCCATATTCGAAGCGTATTCGAAAATTTCCACTCTGGAGACCGTTTTCGAAAATTTCCGGATACGGATACAAAAATTTGCGGACACGTGTGGACGCAACCCATATCCGGAAATTTTTGTATCCGCAAATTTTTTTTGCGGAAACGCGTTGCGTCCACGCGTGTCCGCAAATTTTTGTGTCGGTATCCGCAAATTTTACGAAAACGGATACGTGTGGACGGTGAAAACGATTCGAATACGCTGCGTGTGGACGCAAACATTTTCGTTTCGCCTTGGTGGTTAAGTCCTTACTTTTTTATTCTACAAAGGTATTATGACTTTTATCAACCGGGTGATTACCTGATGTATCGTCGGTCGACGGACAAGACTAGTTTAGTTGAAGTAAGTTTTATCACACTTCCATGGTTTTATGCATTCTAGACTTTTATCTAGACAGTTATTTGAAAGGCGAGGTGCAAAATATGAGGCCCTTGATATCAAATGACAACTTAACAGCGGCAGCCAAAACATGAAAACGATCAATTTTGTCTATTTGGTCATAGTTCCCCTCTATTAACTATGATTGGTAAAGTCAAGGGTGCCTACCTCGAAAATTTCATAAGATTGTAATGTAGGCTCAATAGACCTTTTTAGCTTCGTATGCAAATTGCCCATCTCAGATCACATGACATTCCCTTGAGAATTGTTCTTTTATGACGAAAATGTTAGAAAATATTTACACATGAAAGAATCAACTCCCAAGAGTGGCATCACATGGTCTGGCATGTGCACAACAAACAACGAAGCTAAAAAGATCTATAAGACAAGTTATTTACAAAAAAATTCGCGTATCTCTTATTTCATTATTTAAATGTTCCTCACATGTTGGGCCTGTTTTCCCAGGCGTTTTTATCAGTAGAGAAGCCGCTTTTTGGATTTTCAAATATAGTCCTATCTCTTATTTCATTAAAGTGGGACGATGATGAAATTTTAAAGGTCCTTTTATATAAATGAAAAACTATTAAAACTATTTAGACAAAGAAAATTCAACGGTTATAAGTAAAGAAGAAAAGGTTTGCATAGCTAAAACCTTCGAATTTGAATTATTTAAATGCCGTCCGCCATTAATCCGCCAGGCACTTGCCCCTGACCGTGACGTCAGTACGTTTCTCAACGCTATGCTTTTTGCGTCTATTTGAACTAGTGTGTGCTAAGGAAAATGGCTCAATTTATCGATTTCTTGCCAAGAAAACTATTTAAACAGCTCTTTTGACTCAGAAACTTTTTCGGAAAGCTCGTACCGGCCACTCAGCAAACAACTCACTTTGAAAAACTGACGTTTAATGAATAATGGCGGCAAACGAATTCGGTTTGAAAAAAGCTAATTTTAACGACGTTCCCATAATATTAATGTTATACGGATACAACAAAAGCAAAAATATTAAAACCGTTTATTTCATCGTCGTCCCACTTTAATTAAGGTGACTATATATATAGATAGATATATTTATTATATATATGACAGGTTCATTCACGCCTCTGGACCTGCAATGGTGGAGTATCCTGTAATTGTGGTGTGGCAATACGCGAAAACAACGATATCATAGTACTAACAGTATGCAATGAATTGCTTATGCGAAATGATTACACAAAATTTAAGGCATACCTACCGAGGGGTAAAAAAATCGCACGTGGAACACATATTTACAGAACTGTTACAGGTAGTTCAGTAGATTTTAAGGTAAGCTTCAAAATTTGTTAATGTTATCTGCAAAAGGCCTTTTATAAAAATAAGGCTTTAAATTTATGTTCAATCAGGTTATATTGTCGTCTGGCATTCGAATCACTGCAAGCCGCAGTTACTGGGGCATGAGTGTTACTATCTACTCACCAAAACCCGACAATGGAAATGAAATATCTGGTCTTTGCGGCAATTTCAACGGTGATCAATCCGATGAATTTCAGCTTAAAGGAATAATATACGACGAGCCAAATGCTTTTGTGGAAAAACTGTGGTAAGTTGGTCATCAAACATTTAACAAAAAGGACATAAAAATGTGCAAATAATATAATCATACGTGTTCTAATTGCAACCTTTTAAAGAATAAGACATTTTTCATTCACACGCACATTTATATCTCTTTCCATGCAGGTATTACCCGTAAAACAAACAAACAAACAAAACAAACAAAACAAAACAAAAAACAAACAAACAATCATTGATTGGACGGACGGACGGATTGATGGATGAATAATACAGTAGGCCATCTCTTTATAAGTCAGTGAAGATACACGACGTAAGCCTTTTTTATGTCGAAAAATTCTGTAGGCGTAGAAATTAGCTTTTGTAGCTAGAAGCCTCCATGACCCCAATAAATTACATATAAGGGATTGGCTCCAAAACTACGCGTAGATAAAGTGTTAAGAGGTAAACTTTGTGGTTAAATGCTGATGAGGCCTCCCTATAGATAGTTTTACCGATACAAACGCCCTTAAACGAACTAGGTCGTCAATACCAGAACCCACAAGAACAGGAGTAAAATTGGCACGGGTTAGCTCGTTTGTTCCAATTTGTAAAATAACAATGTGGGGACTAAAAGACTTTACAGCATGAAGTTCATATTGCACAAGCTTCTTAAGAGTTCTGCCCCAACACCATGCCAACTTGCAACTACATTATCATCGCAGTAAAAATCGTGGCTAAGATCGGAATTACGTCTGATAAAGTCATGCAGACGCAGACAATGACCCAGGATAAGGATACGGCGATCAGTCATAAATATTAGAAACCAACTTACACAGTTACAGTCTTAAAAGTAAAGTTAACTTGCCTTAATAAGATTTTTAAAATTATCTTGTCGACTACGAGAATAATAGGAAAGAGGCCGCGTGATACTTAGACGCGCCTTAAGTACTGTTACACAGTATTCAAGCATCCTATTGGATGGTATTTAATATGCGGATTATATAGTTGGATTACCGGATCTAACGGTACAATGTTTCGACATAAATGTCATTATGTTGTCGGCATAATCGGTTCTGTTTTAATAACATACGAATCTGAACTACATGCCATATTATAACCTTCTTTTTTTAGGATCAAACCTAACGAAAGTCATTTTGAAGTTCGTCCAGAAGAGGATATATATCCCCCAAGAAGGACAGAGTCTTGTTTGTGTCCCAAAGCATTAAATGGTAAAGCATATTGTCAAGATACAGAAAATTTCTATGAAGTAAGCGGGAATGCAAAAGAAGTAAAAAACGATATGGAAAAGACAGCAGAAAATCGACGTCGATCTGCTCGTGAATACTGGTACAGTGACAATATAATTGATTACGAAGATCGCAGCTTTTTTGTGAACGCAAAGGATGCACGACACGCTTTCCATCGTATACGCAGTAAACGGTCTATACAAATTCTGATGTCAAAGGAAAACGCCACTAGATATTGCCAACGAATTATTGAAAAATCAAAAGCAGGAAAGACGTGTAAAGACGTGCCTGGGACAAATATTACAGTAGCCATGATACAGTGTGTAACCGATCTACAGGTTCGTACACCTTTAAAATGTACTGGTTTGTTTATACTTTCATCTGGTCTATTTGACAGTAAAGTCTCATATCTTTTATAGCTGAGAGTGTCTTGTTTTCAACAAGAAAAGGTTTATTTGCTAGAAAGTCACAATGTCTTTCTTTCAAGATGGACGTCACTAAACTCAACTAAATTGAGCGTGCGGAGGTTGATGGGATTGATTCTTTTTCAATCACGAAAAATGTCATGCTTTGCGCGTTTAGTGAGATCACCTGGAAAGAAATTAAGGTGGCTGCCTACTTTTGAACKTTCGATTTGAGCCCACGATGTGCGCGTTCTCAAAAACCGCTGAAACATCTACAAGATTTTATTGAAGAACCATACGCGTTTTGAGCTTCAACAGAGCAAAACCCTCAAATTTTGCACGGGGCTCTCTATTCTTTAATAGCTCATTCAAAAAAACTCCTAAAAATCTAGGTTATATCAACATTTTAGGAAATGTTTAAATCAGTAACACATGAAAAAATAGATTTTTGTAGGGATTTTTATTCGAATTCATGAGATCTTTTAAGAGCACCAAAACTACAATATATGACAAATCAATGCATCTCTATCTTTTTGTCGAAAATATCCATGTATTATTGTAGAATGATTGACTAGCCTTCATTCGTGCAATCATATAGTCTGCCAATAACTATTATCTTATGAATCTTAATTTTTTTTCTAATCGCTTCCGGTTGCGCAATTTTTACTCCAAAAGCTCGTGCGTAGGCTTCCATTAAATGCTGATTATCTCGAAAACGAGCTAGGGACACCCTATTTTTCTTTCCAGATTTGGAATCAGCATTAAATTTCAATTCGGAAAATCGAAGTTTAAAAAAAGTTTAATATGTTTTCCAAAAGTAGGCAGTCACCTTAAATACTATACGTTTTATCCAGGTAAAAAAATTCATTGGTTAAGTTGATCAGTCTAGGTCTGAAGTTCTGAATCACCAGTAGTCTTCGCATTTGCACCGAAATTCCCTGAATGGAATTGCTCTCGTTACACTTTACATATATCTACGGTTTTTTAAGTTTATACATTTGCATTTTTATTGGCTAGCTTAGCTTTTAGTTTTGGATTTACCCAAGATTTTTTTTCTATTCTGTTTTTCAGTTAACCGGCGACACGAGCTATGCATACTCTGCTTTTGATTATATGAAAAACGAATGTGAAGAACTTTCTTTAAGTAATATATCTTTATACACCAACGACTCAAAAGGAGAAATGGTTCCTCCTGTAAAGATCCTTGACAACTTGTGTCCTAACGACTGTAGTAACCATGGTAACTGTACCAACCAAACCTGCATATGTGACGAAGGCTTTACTGCACTTGATTGCTCCATGGAAGTTCAAGCAATTCCAGAAATATTTGGGTAAATTGAAAAATGGCAATGAAACAAATTACACTGTATCAATATATATAGCTGATCTATTGATATCTAATCTATATCTATACATATATCTTTTAGCATCTACGATGGAGGACTATGTGATATTCGTAGGCGTCCCTGTAAGAAGACAGATATATTTGGTCATGAATTCATCAGCTCAGGGAACCTAACATGTCACCTAAAAGAATTCAAGGTACTGGATCTGCTGATTTTGTTGTCATTTAGTGTTACTGTTGTTAGAGTGCACGCACTAAAACCGTGAACATTAAATAGTACTAATTAGTACTATTTCATACAGAATCCTTTGTTTTCTATTGTTTAATTATCACTATTTAGTGCTAAAAATTAGTATTTGTTTCACGGATTTAGTGTGAGCACTCTATTGTTTCTGTTGCTGTTGTTTATATTTATTTGCTTTTGTTCTTTCATTGTTGTTCAGTTTATTTGACATCCTTTATCAGAGAAGGCTGAGCTCTACCTATAATTAAATAATGTTATATCACTTCACTCATTTAATCTGATTCACGTTCATAGGTTTTTGCAGGCTACTGGTCTCCAAGAACAGCCATTATCGAACTACCAGGAGAAATGACTGACATCTATATTGTTAAATGCCAACTCCCTGATCCACCAATCAATGTTGGTGATTACGAAAACGAAGGCAATCCTGCTGGAGGACTCTTAATTTCTATCTCAAATGATGGTGTGAAAACCAGTCAACGGCAGCTAAAGTTTGTTTCTTACGATTCCGTTTGCTTAGACTGTAGCAAATTGAGTAATTGCACACTAAAGGTAAGAGATAACCAATTAGATTACACTGAAGTTTGACTTATGAGTCAGCTGATTGTATATGCAATGAGAATGATAACTAGTGATCGAAAAATCCTTTCACAATAACTTTTATGATACTACTCATTTTTCTATGAATTACTTATTAGTTCAAATCCGATATATGAGCAAAGGCTTTGTATGTACCTTTCAGAATGATGCCTGTATAATCAGAGGGCATTGCTTTGCTGCACTTCAACCGAATCCACGTGACTGGTGCCAGCAGTGCAAACCGAGAATAGATCAATACAATTGGACACTAAGAGAAGGTTAGTACATAATCGGTTTAAAATATTTTCCAATTCATTTCATACACATTCGTCCATAAATTGCTCCCCATGTAGAAGCCCGGCATTCAACATCTACTTAGTCGTCTCAAACATATAGATAATTACTTATTCGTCTCAAACATATAGATAATTACGCCCCAAATATCACTTCCAAGACCATGTACAGTACCATACTTGGAGAATATCTAGTTCTTCAATTCCAAGCAACAGACCTCGATAACCGACCTGTCAAGTACTCTTTACTCAGTTCTACACCTACTGGCTGCACAATGAGCCCATCTGGTCTACTGAGGTGGAACGTAACATCGAATGAGAATCAAAAATTTACTCTACAAGTCACTGACGAGTGTGAAGCGTTTGATACATTGAATATCACAGTGCGTATATTACAGTGTCCGTGTCTGAAAGGTGGTCAGTGCGTTCCTCACCCCTATCACCCACGAGGATCTGGACAGTACTACTGCAACTGTCCTCGAGGATTCACTGGAGCAAATTGTGAACAAAACGTTAATGACTGCATTGGTGTTAACTGCAGAAATGGTTAGTGACTGGAGCTGTAATTTAAAAAAATGAGCAAAGCTATTATTATTATTATTATTATCATCATTACTATTACTATTACTATTACTATTACTATTACTATTACTATTACTATTGCTATTGCTATTGCTATTGCTATTGCTATTGCTATTGCTATTGCGATTACGATTACGATTACTATTATGATTAAGAT